GTCACAGCTAGTATGTAGATCCATGTATGTGAGCTGGATGTCAGCTCTTTTCCAAATTACATTAATGTTGAGTAAAGATTCACTCCAAGTGAAGAAATGAGCAAGATTTCAAGCTCATGAAGACAATAGAAATCTATTGTTTGTGGTTACAGCAAAGAAAAGTCTTTCAGCTCTAGTTACTTACCTTAATTCCAGAATTGCAATTGTTGCGTTGTTACATCATTTACAGTACAGACCAAAAGTTTGGACACACCATTTCATTCGAAGACTTTTCTTTATTTTCATGACTGAAAATTGTAAATTCACACTAAAGGCATCAAAACTATGAATGAACACATGTGGAATTATATACTTAACCAAAAACTAAAAAAAACTGAAAATATGTCTTATATCAGAGGTTCTTCAAAGTAGCCACCTTTTGCTTTGATTACTGCTTCGCAAACTCGTGGCATTCTCTTGATGAGCTTCAAGATGTTGTCACCTGCAACAGTCTTGAAGGAGTTCCCAGAGAAGCTTAGCACTTGTTGGCCCTTTTGCCTTCACTCTGCGTTCCAGCTCACCCCAAACCATCTGGATTGGGTTCAGGTCCGGTGATTGTGGAGGCCAGGTCATCTGGTGCAGCACCCTATCACTCTTTCTTGGTCAAATAGCCCTTACACAGCCTGGAGGTGTGTTTGGGGTCATTGTCCTGTTGAAAAATAAATGATGGTCCAACTAAACGCAAACCGGATGGAATAGCATGCCGCTGTAAGATGCTGTGGTTCACAATGCCTTCAATTTTTAATATATCCACAACAGTGTCACCAGCAAAGCACCCCCATACCATCACACCTCCTCCTCCATGCTTCACAGTGGGAACCAGGCATGTAGAGTCCATCCGTTCACCTTTTCTGCATCACACAAAGACATGATGGTTGGAGCCAAAGATCTCAAATTTGGACTCATCAGAAAAAAGCACAGATTTCCACTGGTCTAATGTCCATTCCTTGTGTTCTTTAGCCCAAGCAAGTCTCTTCTGCTTGTTGCCTGTCCTGATGGTCCCAACCCCATTTATAAGGCAAGAAATCCCACTTGTTAAACCTGACAGGGGACACATGTGAAGTGAAAACCATTTTAGGTGACGACCTCTTGAAGCTCATCAAGAGAATTCCAAGAGTGCGCAAAGCAAAATGAGGCTACTTTGAAGAACCTAAAATATAAGACATATTTTCAGTTGTTTCACACTTTGCTAAGTATATAATTCCACATATGTTAATTCATAGTTCTGATGCCTTCAGTGTGAATCTACAATTTTCATAGTCATGCAAATAAAGAAAACTCTTCAAATTAGAAGATGTATCCAAACCTTTGGTCTGTATTGTATATAGGGTAGAGGTGAGTATTGGCCACGGTGTTACGATACACATCACTATATTGCAATGTCATGATATATAATGAGATTCTACCCAGCTAATAACAAATTGCTGTACATGTTGATCAGAAGATATTGATCATTCAGAGGAAAAGTTGAGTCAAAAATGATTTGCTACAAAACAAGTTCAACAAGTTTCTTTTTCAGTGAAACTACAGTGACATCTCAAATTAGTTATAACAACATAATGATGGCATTTTGACCACTGCAAGTGAGAACCTTAAATATAAAATACCCTGAGGTACTGGCTGCAAAAAATTTGGAAAAAATATTTTTTTTTTAAATCAATATTAAGATCTCAAAGATTGATATTATATTGGGTGCCAGAAAATCACAATTTTTGCCAAACTGATATTTTTTTTTCGCCCGCACCCTAATATAGGGGAGTTTGTTTCCTGTTTCAGTGGGTCCAACTCAGCTAGGCGCTTTTATATTTATATTGTTTCATGCTATTATTTTTATCAAGTTTTTTGTGGCTTTTAAGTTGACTTTTTAGAAGCCAGGCATTGAGCCTGCAAAGTAGCGTTTCATGGTATTTTAGTATAATTCAATTTATAATACATTTCTTTTTTCTAAAAATATTACACATGAAAAATATGTAAAACTGGAAAATTATAGGGTGTCAAGATACTAAAATATCAAGCTGAGTTTGATATCCAGGAAAATATTCTATACTTTATAAATCCAGTCAGAAAATGCACCCTCATTTCAGTCAAGAGTAAATATTTTAGATGAGGAAAGGTTAGAGATATTTTTATGTTTTGAACTAAATGGACCAAGTTAGTCTTTCTCTCTTGAATAACCAGCAAAGCATCAGCTGTATTAATATTTAGTTTTTACCTCCTGCTTTTTCCATTCTACATTTCAGGAGCTTTTTATATTTGATTTGTCTTTTTTTTTCTATCACATCAACATTCAGCTCCTTCTAAAGCAGCTCTTTCTCTTACTTCATTTATTTCCTCCCGATCACTTTCCACTTCTCCACCACTCCCCTCCTCCTCCTCCTTCCTTTCCTCTTCTCCTCCTGGCCATGCTACACTGCACAGTGCATTAATAGTGGTATGAAAAATTCCCAGCTGAGATGTGGTGGGATCGTCGATGCCAATGACTCAGAACTGGAGAAGCAGAGAGTTAAAAGGCTTGGACTCCTTACAGAAGCTGTTCCACTCCACTGATGTTGTCTTGCTGACAAGAAGGCATGGCACTTTGGCTGAATGTTAAGCTGAATGTTTTTTATTGTAATCACTGATATTCTGACAGTGCAATAATTGCAGCCCCTCACCATGGTGTACTTTGAAGATATTATTTAGATTTTTCAGGTTAAAGATTCATGCTAATTGGTGTTATTCAGTAGATATATTAAACATGTACATATGTCAGATTTGCTCTGATTTTGGAGTCTGGCAATATCAAAAAGCACCCCCACAAACTGCGTCACTTCAGACCGCTCTGTCAATCAATAACCTGACATTTTCTTTAATAACACGGTGCCTTTTGGCTCATCAACCTCATATGCATCCTTTACCATCAGGTGCTGCTGATTCTCACTCACTGCCCTGATTGTTGGAAACTGCCAGATGACACTTTCCCTACTCTTAGGATGCCAGTGCTTAAGCTCTGAGGTGCCTAATGTAGATCTTGTTGCTTTAAACATTTACTCGACTTTTTCCGTTATTTACCAGAATTTATTAATGGTTTCTTTGTAGGAAAACATTTGTGAATTTACCAAGACTGCAATAAAAAAAATTAAAAAAACGTATAGAATTTTTATTTTTTGGCTACATAATGTTGTTTTTCATTTTGTTAATGCTGCTGTTCTGGATGCCTAATTGTGATTCTTTTAAAAAATGTTCATGAAATCTGTTTTTTTTTTTTTTTTGTGGTTCTTTTTACTAAATAAACCTGACCTGCATGGGTATAAGAAGAATAGAGATGTCACACAACAAATTGTTTATGGAAGTAATGATGAATGTGACTGTCACTAGTAGAGATGCGCCGATCAGGATTTTTGGGAGAAACAAATAGTTCTCGCCTCGCAATATAATGGACAGCATTTTTTAGGGGTTTATAGTTAATCCCAATTAATACCAAACCTGCAGGATCGGTCGAAAACTGTATTGTCTTTTATCTCGTGTAAATGCAGCTATTGACAACAGATGATACTGGAGCAAAGGAGAGCAATTTGACTCTCTGTTGCCATGCCAATCTATCTTTGGTTTCAGGTGGCAATTGATGGTTAGTCAATATTTATAGACCCATAACAGCATGTGCACGTTTTCTCTATCATGTCAACTTTTATGTCTCTGTCTTCTCCATCAGTCTGGACTCCATCTTGCTTATCTTTCTTTCCAGCTATCGTTCCAATACCCCACCGCTTCCTGTAAGCCTTTATGACTCCGCCTAGCTCTCCAGTGTTAATGTCATCTTTAAATCTGATGGAAACTGAAAAATATCACAAACCCACTATCGGTAGGTTATATCCAAGTTTCCCCAGCTGTGGTTTTACAGTGGTAACGTTCAACAAATCCCAAAAACATGTTTTTTATTTGCCATTAGTGACTTTTAATGAGAGTAAGAAGTCTACTAAGAACACGGTATGATGTATTTCTATCCTCTCGACTAAAATTACCATGCTTGTTGCATTAAACCTTAAAAAACAAGCTTCAGTGTCTTTTAGGGGAGTTTAGTAGGGCGTCACTGTGAAGTGGAGATAAATGTTAATGGTTCTGGGTCTTTGCTGTTAAGAATCAGAAAACTCTGGCATGTGTTGAGTACTTCTTTAAATCCCCTAAGATTGATGGTGTTTTAAGACAGCAGAAATCTACTCTCAACGCCCATTAGCTCAACTCTTTGGTGAGATTTTCTTTTTCTTTCAAATGCAGGTCTTTTAGCTGAAAATCTTAAAGATGAATACTAACTGCCATTCATATCTCTACGGATTCCGTCTTCCAAAAAAAACAAACTAAATAATCCCTTTAACTTTCTCAGGACTTAAAGGACTTTTCTTTATCCAACCGTAGCACTGATTGAACACAGCTTATTGTCAGAACAGGGCTCTGGGGTAAAAGAGCAAAACAAGGTTTTTGCTTATTAATCACCCTATATTATCCTGTCTGCTTACCATCCTGCATGTGACAAAGAACCTCATAACAGGGGCTAATAATCACACAATATTCTACAAGCCTTTTTTATTAGCAGCCTAAATCCTCTTCATAGAAGCCTATTGGATGATTAAATAATGTATTTTATACAAGGATTTGCAATTAACTAAAGAGCTTTTAGGGATTCTTGCTCAAGGGATGTACTGTTCTGATATTTATGCAAAGAAGGATCTGCTTCACATATGGTTGTGCTGAGCTTAATTGGACAATTCAGACTGATGGTCGCATAACAGGGAAAAGACTCTATGAGATGTCGGTTTTTATTAAGCTATCCTAAGAAGTCCAATTTGTGCACAATTCACCCACAATACCTTGTGTTTTCTCTTCCTTTACATAAATCCTTAATTTATCATTTGTAGCTGTTTGCCAAATTTCCTCTGGTTGGTTTCTGAATCTTAAGCCTTGTGTTTTTGCTCCTCTTCTTTCAGGACGAGCCCTCATGAGACTAACGGACAGAAAGCTGGAGAGAATGGGGATCATACATGAAGCCCAGAGGCAGCACATCTTGCAGCAAGTCCTGCAGCTTCGTGTTCGTGAGGAAGTCAGGACTCTTCAGCTACTCACGCAAGGTAAAGTTTTCAGCCCCTAAATATTGCATCAGGACATTTCGCTGCACTATACAGCCTGTTCTCCTCGCTTAGAGTTTATTTTACTGCACACTTTTGCAGAATTATCAATAACAATCGTTCTAATAAATATACCAGTCATTCATTATTCACAAGCCATCTGTTGTCATGGCAATTTTTGCATATTTCAAAACCCGGAGGAAGTGATGAATCAGAAAATTATGTAACAACAGAGCCATGCAGAAACCTTTTTTTTCTGCTGTTTTGTTCACAAACTAGAGTCCTAAAGATAATGGTTCGTGGGTACAGTTTTATAGCTCAAGAAAAAAATATATATATTTATTTACTTTACTTGTGATAAGCTCTTATAGCTGCAGGTCCCAGCAGCGCTGACTCTAAAATTGACAGTTTCTCATGTTACAAGCAGAGATAGTACCTGACTATGCTGATATCTGCTGAGATGAGCTCCAAGGTCATTTCAGATGGTCGGTCCAGATAGATTTAATGGATGCAGATAATGAATACACAAGGTTTTGCAGTTCAAGGCATTAGGTTGTTCTATATTCGACTTTGGAAAGATACGAGAACTGTGCTGACGGGAACGGTTTTCTTTTATCAAATGTACCGTATGCAGAATAGAATAGAATAAGAAAAATGAAGACATGAAAATCTATGTCTATGTAATATTATGTTTACTTAATTTTTGTCTGTAGGGAAAGCATTCCTAACAAACATGTTTTGCACAAGAAAATTAAGATTCTTCTAGAAACACATCTCTAACTTTTAAGATATTTTACTTTATTTACCAGCTACAGGGTAGAATAATGATTTGAAGTTTCAAAATAAGAAAAAGATACATTTTTTATTAGGTTTTTCTAAAGTTTCCACATAATTCCGCAGGGAATATTTCATGCAGCTGTGCTTCAGTCGTGTTTTCATGGCTAGTTTTTGATTTTATATTATAGTACGCATTACCTATCTTGTAATACCCCTAGGTTCCACGCAGAGTGGAAGTGGCGCATTCACATAACAGTGCGGCTCCTCAGGGCTGTCGTGGCTGATCGCTGCAATTCTCATCAGTCAGAGTGGAGTTTTCTGAAGCATCCCAGAAGCACCATACGCTACTATAGCAGGGGTGATGCAATCCTGACATTATCAGAGTCTAGCTGCACAGTAAAGCTCACCTTTGAAAATGCTCCTGGTGGAACATGGTGTCTGTGCAAAGCAGTAGTGCAGCTGAGCTGCGGTGCGTCTGCGTCATTTCATCTTGCAGTGGAACCCAGGGGTTCCTCTATCGAAAGCCCGGGAAATTTTTACAGGTAGTAATTTTGAAAACATTCCAGCTTATAGTCTCCAATTTTTGGTTCAAAAATATCTGGTCAAAGCTTTCTTTAGAGATAAATTAGCTGTAAGAATACACCAACATTAACAGAATGAGGTTTCCTATCCAGCCATGATGACATATGGAAAAGCATGTCGCATGGGTGTGATTGACTAATCCTCCACATCTTTGACAGTTATAGTTTATTGTGCTTTTGCTCAGAATAGATAATGGATAATGGGATCAAAGTGTGAAATTTACATTAATCTTCTGCAAAGTGACAACTTTGCATACCTTCGCTGCAATTGACAACTGAATTTTGGTGTTATTTTTTTTGTATTTGTGAATCTGCTGAGTGATTGGGAAAACAAGTCATTTTCTGGTCACTCAACAACTTGCTACCCCCAAGTCTGCTAGTTATTAACTGAACTAACCTGAAAATAGGTCAAGCTACAGTATAGTTCCACTTTCAAGCATCTGTAGCTGGACAGCAAAGTGCATCGTAACATTAAATAAGGTTATTATTAGATCAATGCTGCGATACTTGAGTCACATTTTTGTTAATCCTCTATGGCGTTATCTCCACTAGAGCTTTTTCACAGGAGGAGCCACATCGAAAATCTTAAGACGGCACATCAAAACCAGAAAAAAATCACTGCCATTGAAAAATGGCTGTGATTTTCTTTTTCTTTTTTCATTTTTATCAAGTGGGAACAATTTTCAAGATTATTTTTCTCACTATTAAATTAAAACAGTATAAGGATGGCAAACTGTATCTATCCATTAATGCTAATGTCACTTTTAATCAGAAAGGGCTGGTGCGTTTTCCGCCGCATAGACAACTCTGTTTCTGCTATGGGGGGGTTTGTGGGAGGAGCCCCAGCCACCTCTCTCCCCCCTGAGGTCCATTAGGTGTTGCACATGTGAGGAACACATGTTGTATAAGAGCCTTGGTGCTCATTCAGCAGTGATTTGACACAGGAACAGAAGGCAAAGTACTTAATTTAATGGATTAGTTAAATTAGTTGTGCTTTCATCTTTATCCTGTGCTTTCTGGTTCCTGGTTGGACCAGAAATATCTGGGTTAGGCATTCCCACTACTGGTACTTTATAGGGGTCAGATCGGGTGTAACCATTTGCCTCACTCTATCATAAGATCTCTCTATGTATTAGTGAGTGACAGTTTTTATCCGATACCTCACCATGATTTTTTTAAAAACCACAAACTTTCGGGCAGTCGATGCCAGGAATACAGATACCTCCTCCTCCCTTTCACTTTGTTTTCCACCTGTAGTTTCAGACAGAGGAAGCACGATCAATACAGCCTCCAAATATGCACAGCCACTGTTTACAATTTAGGCACGTACAACAGCAGCAGTAATCCATTATGTTAATTCAATTCAATTCTTTTGATGAGCCATTTTGAATTCATCTATAGCCAAACTAAAAGCTGAGATGCCAAAGTTGAATCAGTGGCAACAATGCTAATAATGTTTCCAGTGAATCAAGTAGCATCTGTTCATTTTCATTTTAGCTGGAGAACATTTATTTTGAATTTTATGAATTTTTACTTCCTGTTATACTAGAGTATTTTTTGTTTCACCCCAAGTTCATCTTTGTTTTACTTTATTTTTTCCCTAACTAGTTGTTTTATTTGATCTGTTTTACTTTGATTCATCAGTCTTATTATTTTTTTTTTGCTGTTTTGATTTTACATGTATTTAAGATTTTAAGGATATCTTTGTGGGTTTAAGATACCGTTGAATTGGCATTGGCTGATTTTTTTTTATTTTGTACAGTTATGCTTCTGATATCTATCTATTCTTATTAAACAACACTTAATACATTTAAATATTTTAATTTATTTTAATTACATTTTTCAACCAATTCCAAACACTGCTGGAGATTTCTGTTCAAAGTGGAATTTTAATCATCTCCAAATTAAAGCATCTTTTTCATAATACACAAAAAATGTTAATTTGTGTATTAGACAGTTAGGGGCCTAATCCAGTCTCTGTGGGACTCCAAATGTAACGTTAAAGAACTCTAAGAAGTATTCTCCTGCCTAGAAAGGCCTGCTCTTAACTTGGCTTTATACCCTGTTCAAAACTGCCTCTAAATCAGAGATTTTTTAATTCCTCATATAATATTTTAGAGAAGCTTACAATATTTAACGACTTATTTAATTTTAAACTGCCTTCTAAATACCTATTTGATCTGGGATTTTTTTCCAGTTAGCCAAATACATATGAAATTCCTTAAAATTCATAAAGTCAGAGAAGTGACCAGAAAGACATTATATCCTTCCTTATAGTGTTTTGGGGTAAAGGGTTAGTGGGTGAGGTGGAAAGATTATGGCATAAAATTAGCTGCTTTGCTACATACTGTAAATACTTACTGATTAGTCCGTCCTCTAATTCATTTTTTAAAAAAAACAGAAAACACTTTGACAGAAAACAATATTTCCAACTTTTGTTGTTTTTCTTGGCCTCATACAATAAAATCCTCCTTTTACATCGTGTAGTACACTTCATGCTCTCCTTATTTCCTCTTTTCTACCCTGTGATTCTCAGCCTGCCCTGTTTCTCACTTAGCAGATCCAGAAGCTCTCCTTTGCCAACCAGCAGCAGCAGCCGCCGCCTGCATCATCGCTGCTGTTCTTTCACACCCATCTGCACCGAGTCTAAGAAATCAGGGCTGCCGCAGGGGCAGAGTAACAAATTCCAGGGTTCCAGTTTCTTGGAAAACATTTTGGAGTGAATTAAACTAGGCTGTCTGTTTTAGTCCCTCAGCAAGGTGATGAAAAAAAAAACTGTAAGAAGGGACAAGAGAGGTTATTTAGTTCAGTGATGACACTTGCTAAAGGCTACCCTCAGCATCCTAAGACATTCTTCCCTTTGTTCTTTTTTTTGTTTCATCCTCTCCTCTTCATCTTCTTCTTTCTGTATTGATGATATGGGAACAAACAGCTCAGCCGTCTCAGCAGGATTCCTTTTAGACAGTATCTCAGCCTCTGGGAGAGGGACGAAGAAGATGGAAGTTTGTTGGAGTGAAAAATGGAAAATGGTGAATCAAAGAGAAAATCAAAGAGCATAATTTCAACATTTAGATTTCTGTACAAATAGGTCACGGTTAAGAACAACCATGTTGAGAACCAAACGAACCTTAAGCTGTTTTTTAGGAATGTGTGAAATTGGTTCTTATTTTGCATGTTTCAATGTTAAGTAAAAATGTGTCTAAATTTGGAGAGAAAAAAAAAACACGAAGAGAAGATTCTTTCCTTTTGCTTTTTACAAAGAGCATGGGAAATTGGAAGACGATATGTTGAAGTCAGAGGCTCAAAGGCACACTTTAGTTGTTCCTAAAAAGAGATTTAGCTGTACCCAGTGGAGGCAGAGCAAGAGACACAGGAAGTGAGAGAGTCTTAACGAGGGAATGGTGGCGATGTCAACGAGTTCATAAAAAATAACATCAAGAATTTTACAGTTGGTGAGAAATAAAATGCTGATTGACAAATAAAAGCAGAGAGTGTAAAGATCTTAGATGGAAAACAAACATAGCTCTGTTTTTGGTTTGTTTTCGCATAGATGGATTATCCTTTTACTGTCATTTAGGTTATTAGTCTACAGATTTTAACTTAAAAACACAACAACTTGGATCTGTTTTCTATTTTATCGGTCAT